AAATTATACCAGTTTATTTCGTTTATACCATTTGCTTGTTCGATTTCCTACTCTTTAAAGTTGTTGTGAAGTGAAACTAACTGCATTCTTATTATACCAGTTTGTTGCTTTTTAGTATTTTTGAATACACTAAACTGGGAAAATTTCAAAACTTGTAAAACCAAAATCTTATAGCACCCTTTGGCTTTTCAGCTAAAAGAAAATAAGTTACATTAATACATTTTTCCAATTACTCTCATTACTGCAACTACTGAAAATGGCTGAAAAATCAGAAAAGTCTGAAAAGTAAGTTTTCAGATTTTTACTCATTCTTAATACATGTACTATATAAAAACCGTTTCTCTTAGAAATGATTACGATCCATACGAGCACCGCGAAGTAACACATCCGATTAGGTAAAATGAAATTTCCGAAAAAAAAAAAAAAGTTACCTGTCAATATGTATGTAAATCTTGCAGCGATTTCGGCGCTTTTGTGAATATCATCAAAGCGATACTGGGCACCGGAATACTAGCAGCGCCCATGGCCAACAGAAATGCCGGCTATTTGCCTGCCATCATATGTACGAACATAATAGGCATCTTCGTAATACACTCGAAACTGATTCTGGTAATTCGTTAAGGCATTGTTGATATTTGACATGGAATGTAATGTTGTTTATAGACTGAACAGGGTATATTAAGTTTCCCCAAGATATTTCAACACTCTATAAATACCTATATATGTATGTATGTAGGTATATAATTCCGAAGCTGTTTTGTCCTTTTCGTTTGGGGGTGTTTATTTTACGTGGTGAGTCCCAAACCCAGCGCACAACCTTGGGGAAGGATGAATCGCCTTCTCGCGCCATTAGCTCGCCTTCAAATGGAAGTTTTTTGGCTTCCTCTTGGTCTAAGAACGGAAGTCGTGAGCTGCTTGTGCCATATGTAGTAGAATCGTTTCGTGCCACTTCCAATTGAATGGCGCTCAGAGAACTTTCCTCACTTAWGTGAACTTCTACACATCCACCTGGGGACTGTCGTGCTGTTGTAAAGTCGAGTCAATTTAGTCTTGTCCGTCTGTTGATTTKATATTTTGCACACGTCTTTMCTAGCCAGGAAATCGGGCCGCTATATCATATAAAAGCAGCTGATCGATCGAAATGAAGTTCATGTATGAAATACAATTTTCATTGTAAGGTGCAACCGMAGTTAACTCTTTTGYTTGTCTYATTTCAACAGTTATCTGGCATGTATGAGCTGGCCAAGCGCAAGCAAGTGCCGCTGCTAACCTAYGGCCAAGCGATGCTGATCGGCGTGATGGAGGGCCCACCGGCGCTGCGTTGGTTGCAATATTTGATCAGGTGATGCTTTTGGCTTTGCCATAAATTGTCTTATTTAATTCATTTGTTTTTAATTAAATTAATTTTTTCGGTAATTAAATTACAGCGGTATTGTAAATGTAATGCTATTCGCCAATCACTTTGGCACTTGTTGTGTCTACGTGGTGTTCATCGCAAATTGCTTGAAGGATTTCGGTGATTACTATTGGGAGGAGCATGACAATCGCATTTATATGGCAATGGAAATTGTGCCGTTATGTTTGATATTCCTCATACCCAACTTGAAAGCGCTGACACCGTTTGTGCTTATCGCGACTATATCTTTAATATTTGGTAGGTAAAACATTTATAATTRATCAATTGAAAAGTCCCCAGCCTGACATATAGTTGGTCAATAGCCTGTCAATTATGTCATTTTGTGAAAAAATGGTTAAAAAAGAATTTCGCGTTTTGATAAAATATTGCTTTTAAAAGGGAATATCGATTTGTTGAAACAAAAACTTGGCTTTATGACAAATTTTCGGACATTTCGTCTTCTTCTTTGTTGGCGAAGACACTGCTGACTCGGTTATGCAGAGAGGTCCTTCTTCACCTGACCTCTCCARTGGGKTGGAATCGAAAACCGTCAAAKCTAGAGTGTTCTCTTCCATCCGCATAACATGACCTAGCCACGCAGCCGCTGTCTCTTAAATTTGGGACAGAACCTTTCTCTTAAGTACCTCTAAGGCCGACTCATCASATGAAGTCATTGTCYATGCATCGCCACCATATAGCAGGACGGGAATAATGAAGTCACTCCGTCATAGAGTTTGGTCTTTGTTTTTTTCTTGGATATCAACGTAGAACACTGCTTCGGACACTGCCTCAAGAAAAACAACCAAAAGGAGACTGTAGACGGTGAACTCAGTGGGCACCTAGAAGAGTGCATTATGTGATTATGTGAGTATATGAAAGCTCTGTGCTAAGTGGGTTCCATGCAAGCTCACGTTTGACCGAAAACAACGACGAGTTGATGATTCGGAGCATTGTTTCAATAATAAATTCAAGGTTTAGTTCAATCACTCGACTCATGGCATATTTTTAAATTATTATTTTGAAAAAGGAAGGACCATCAATAGCGATTATTGGACCATTTGGAGGACGGAATCGCCGAAAACCGGCCGCAAAATACAAAATACGAACTTTGTAAAAAAAAGTATTTTGCTATAGTATTCCGGGGACTTTTCAATGGATCTGTTAACTATATATACGAAGTTAAGTTAAGTTGACTCGGATGAATCCATTTGAACTGTGTGCGAAAATTGAATCCGAATCCAGTTYAGCTTAAATCTGATCTTGAGTGCATAATAATAATAATATATGTAATTTTTCTTCCACAGGGTTCGGCATTTTATTCTATTATATCTTCACGGATATGAGCCCGTTCTCTGAGATGACTATGGTGCAGGACATTTACTACTTTCCATTTTTCTTTGGCGCCACCATGTTCGCTTTGGATTCGCCCGGCTTGGTTGTTTCCACGAATTTCTGCAATCTTTCAGCTTTCATTTTAAGATTATAATTTTTCGTATTCCCTTACAGATCGTTTCCGTGGAGGCGAATATGAAAAATCCCTTACATTTTCGACGCTTCTGTGGCGTTTTTGTGCTAGCCATGCTGCTCGTTATTGTTTTCCAAATCATTTTCGGCTTCTTCGGCTACTGGAGTTATGCCGAAGATGTTGCCTCGACTATTCTGCAAAATATACCCTTTCATACGGTGTAAGCGTTTTGGATTTTTGTTGAAAATTGTATGCAACTACTAAATATCTGCTTTTAACTATAGACCCGCCTCAGCGGCGCGTGTAATTTTTGCATTTTCCATCTTCATCTCGCATCCGTTGCAGGGTTACGTGCCCTTCGATGTGGTGTGGAACAATTGGTTGAAAGCGAAGGTGGCTGAGGAGCATCAATTTGTGCTGGCGATGCTTTTMCGCATTTTCATCGCCATTTCTTCGGGTCTGTATTTAGTGAAAAATAATTATTTTTATGTATCATTATGTGGTTGGTCTCATTCTAGTGCTCGTCGCCGTCTCSTGCCCCTCACTGACAGTCATACTCTCGCTTGTTGGCGCTTTGTGCATGTCATTTCTGGGCTTAATATTGCCGGCTATTCTGGATATTTGTGTGAAATACGAAACCGGCTATGGTCCCATAAAAATTTATCTGCTGACGAGTTTGCTGGTGGGRTTTTTGGGCTTGATCGGCGCTATAATTGGTACATATGTGTCCATACAGGAGTGGATCTTTACGTATACCCGCGTAGATCACATGATGAAGGCAATATATTATGGATTTTTTAATGAAAAATATACTGAGTTGATTTAAAAGGTGAAAGTTGTTTCTTTGTGTTTTGTCATTTTATTTGTGGAACCAGTTTTTCACAGTTGGGATCGTTGGAAATGGATCACAATGGTACAGCCGTTGAAAATCTGTGACTCTTCGGTAATGTTATGTGGAGCACTTTAACAGAGCTTGTAGAGAATAGAGCAGCATTAGCTCCAACCTCACTAAATAATTCGAAGAAGCATTATAATAATTAAGTTTCGCCGACCTCAATTGAGTGTACTCGGAATTTTAGTTGGAATCGACGACTTTTCTCACTGCTGTGGAAAGTACTGTGAATTTCTTTCAAGGCTGTTTTCTTCTTTACATTGGTGGTGTTTTTTTTTTAGGTGGTTGAGACCTGCCAGCGCACAACGCTGGGGAAGGATGATTCGCTTCTCACTTTAGCTAGCCTTMAAATGGATGCTATTTGATTTTCTCTTGGTCTAAGATCGAAAGTCGTGAGCTTCTTGTGCTACATATGTAAGTATATGAATCGYTTCTGGCCACTCTCAAGTGAATGGCGCTCAGAGAACTTTTCTCGCTTGAGTGAACTTCTACACATGACTYCATCACTTCATCACYATTCGACGCAGTATCCGCCAGGAGGAGCAGAGGAAGAGGAAAGCCTCCATTCCGTTGGAAAGACTAGGTGGTCAAGGATCTGGCTACTCTTGGAATCTCCAATTGGTGCTAAACAGCGAAAGGGAAGAAAGGGAAATTTCGGTGGATACGACGACTTGTTATCAGGGAGGAGTAATTGTTTGCTGATTCTCAAAATATCGCTCGTCCGCCTAAAARTCTGGGATTTGTTCAAAAGTAGACYGGAGTTCTACCTAAAATTCTATTCTCACTATTCTCTCTATTCTCGCCGCTTTCCAAAATTATTCTTTCATCAACCACCTAAGGTTTTACCTACGGAAGCACGTTACTTGGGGAAAATATTCAAAAAAGTTGCTGAAAAAACTCAAGGTAATTGCTGAGCCGGCTATTAATACATAACAACGGTATGGTCGTCTGGGACTAGGTTGCAGTTCAAGAAGATCGTCCCTTTAGTATCGTCGATCATCTTTCATTTGTTACCACTAAATTTGTTCTCACTTTCAAAAACTTCAGTTATCAGCAGTCACACACTTCAAGCTTGTCAAAGAACAAAGTTGAAATTATTATAAATATTTCATACAAATYTAATGGCCGAGTCGTAAGTTCTTGCTGTTTACTGCTACTGAAAATCTCATTTTGTTTCTTTAGAAAAGATGACTACGATCCATATGAGCACCGCGAAGTTGCCCATCCGATTTCGTGAGTTCATGAAGATTCCTCCTATCCCTTCCTCCACACTCACATTTCAATTTCTTCCAGAAATATTGGCGCTCTGACGAATATTATTAAAGCTATAATTGGCACCGGTATTTTGGTGTCACCAATGGCTTTTCGCAATGCCGGCTGGTTAAATGCGCTGATTAGTACGACTGTTATTGGTATCATTGTCTTATATTCGAAGCAAATGTTGGTAAGCATCTGGAGTTGAAGAAATCCTCAAAGTGACGTTAGTTTTTGAAATTTTCAGATGTATGGCATRTACGAAATAGCAAAGCGACGTCGTGTACCACTCTATACCTATGCTGAGGGCGTTGTCGAAGCGATAGTCGAAGGTCCGCCTTGTTTACGCGGACTTCAGGGAACGTTGCGGTTGGTATAAGTTCGGATTTTAATACACGTTTTTTAAATCGATTTCCTTAAACAGTTTTCAGGAGGTGTTTAGTTAGAGTTTGRAAATTTAGGTCTCTTCTATGGAATAGAGTCCAGGTTTCGATGGAAAAAATCCTAGAACTTCATTTTCCCCACAGCTTGAAGAAAAAATTCCTTTTGCCATTTCGCCAGACATGTGGTCTAATAAGGGTGGCTAGGGACTATTCTTGAGTTCSATTCGACGATTTCGGACGAATTTGGACGATTTTGCTAGTATTTCGGTGATATTGAGGATTACGCTACATTTAGTTCCGAGAACTGTTATTGGTTTGATACGGCTGGACTCATTTAAGGAAGCGCGATGGAGAATTGATTCCTATTTCCCATCGCGCTTCCTTAAATGAGACTGCCCACCTCGGAGAAATCCTTTTTCAGGCGTCTTACAAAATTTTGATTCCCAGATGAGACTGCCCACCTCGAAAAAATTCACTTTCAGCCTTTTGGGATTTGGTTTAAAGGCCTTAACGCTCTATGGAATTTGAGTTCTATATTGAAAAAATCCTTGAACTTCATTTTCCCCACAGCTTGAAGAAAAAATTCCTTTTGCCATTTCGTCAGACATGTGGTCTAATAAGGGTGGCTAGGGACTATTCTTGATTTCGATTCGACGAATTGGGACGACTTTGCTAGTATTTCGGTGATATTGAGGATTACGCTACATTTAGTTCCGAGAACTGTTATTGGTTTTGATAAGGCTGGACTCATTTAAGGAAGCGCGATGGAGAATTGATTCCTATTTCCCATCGCGCTTCCTTAAATGAGACTTCAGTTATCAGCTCGAAAAAATCCTTTTTCAGTCGTCTTACAAAATTTTGATTCCCAGATGAGACTGCCCACCTCGAAAAAATTCACTTTCAGCCTTTTGGGATTTGATTTAAAGGCCTTAACGCTCTATGGAATTTGAKTTCTATATTGTACACATTATATGGACGACTTCGGATAGACAAACCTCACGGATAGCCGATGGGTGGAATTGAGTAAGTTCTCACAATGGATACGTCTGATAGCAGCTGACTGACTGTCGGGTGGGACATCCTAATCCAAATTGAAGAAAATGGATTTGTCAATGTTGATAATTGACCAAGTAGGAGTTCAGAGCTAACACCAAAATCCTCAACAATATTCAAAGAAATTAGAAACTTCCTAACCAGACGTATCCGGCTTGACAGCAGCTGGTATATTTGGCATCTGTAGGGTGATCCCTCGAAGAAACAGTGTTCCGAAATTTTGGAATATGATTGAAAGCCGTCAGGATTATTGCTTTGTCGAGCATGAGCTCGATATTGCAAGTATATGTGGGCGACTTAGGTCAGACAAATCTCACGGACGCAAGCATAAAATAGTCCATCCTCAGTTTGACTGAATTGCGTCCAGCTAGCTACTTCACTTTGATATATAGTTCAGTTTAATCCAAAGCACTCTCTTCTCTACTTTCAGCTGCATGGTGAACTCTCTACTCTTCATTTATCACTTCGGCTCCTGCTGTGTTTATGTGGTTTTCATAGCAAATTGTCTTAAGGATCTTGGCGACCATTATTGGACCATTTGGGATAGCCGTTTATATATGTTGTGTGAGATTTTACCGCTATGTCTTATCTACTGTGTGCCGAACTTGAAATCATTGGTACCWTTTGCGATGGCAGCCAACTTTTCTCTAATATTTGGTGAGTTTGGAAACTAATTTTCACGTTAGATTTCGTAAACTTAGAGGAAGTGAGCGAATCAGCTGTTCCGGGCTGTCATATTAAGGCCAATAAATAATAACAAATCAAGATTTTTTCTTCCAGGTTTCGGCATTATTTTCTACTATATGTCCAGTAATCTGCAACCATTTGTAGAGCTGAAAGCCTTCCAAGACTTCCGTTTGTATCCGTTATTTGTAGGTGCCACATTATTTGCATTTGAGGCGCCTGGTTTGGTAACTCTAAAATACTTCCAACTTAACCTAACTTCATTTTGCAACTGGTCTAGGTCGTATCGCTTGAGGCGAACATGAAAAAACCAAAGTCCTATGTCGGCATAGGTGGCGTGCTGAGTCAAGGTATCTACTTTGTTATACTGCTGCAGCTAGTCTTCGGTTTGCTGGGCTATTGGCGCTATGGTGATGATATCAAGTCGGCAATATTGCAGAGTCTGCCGCATGACGAGTTGTAATATTTTTAAATTTTCCATTAACTTATAATTCTTCAATTTTTCGTAAGCACATAACCCTACTTTTACTAACATTTTAGACTCGGCAACTCGGCGCGCGTAATTTTCGCCTTTTCCATGTATATCTCACACCCTTTGCAGGGCTATGTGCCCATCGATGTCATGTGGAATAATTGGCTAAAGCCGAAGGTGTCTGAGAGTAAGGCATTCGTGTTAGAATTGGTCTTTCGTGTTTGCTTGGCGATTTTGTCGGGTAACTATTAACCCTATACCCATTTATGGTAGCTATAAAATTACATATATTTTAAAAAATATGAGTTTTTATTATTATTCGCTTTACTTTCTTTCCTTTTAGTTGGTTTTGCCGTCGCTTGGCCGAACCTAACCTTAATTCTTTCTTTTGTCGGCGCATTCTGCCTCTCCTTTCTGGGTCTTATATTTCCTGCCATCATTGATATTTCGATTCGTTATGAAAAGGGTTATGGACCTATGAAAATACATCTACTACTGAGTTTTGTCGTGATATTGTTCGGTGTTGTTGGTGGCATAACCGGTTCTTAYGTGCCAATCGAACAAATGGTGAAACTTTATGTTAGCGGTACGAATTTGACCGGTTAGAAAAATATATTTGCGTTGAAGAAAAGACATGCAGTTTTATTTACCACTTTGTTCTTATGGCCGTAGAACTTTGATTAATAAGCTTTTTTATTTTACTTATTACGAAAAGCTATAGCTAAAATCATAACTAGACATAACGTATAATAATGTAACTTAAGCTTTTTTACCTATACCTCAAAACTCAACGGGTTATTCATGTTTTTCGTTAAAGCATTTGAAGCTTCTAAAAGCTTTGACGTTTAACTTTCCATTAGAGCTTTGCTGGTATAATGAAAACTCTTAAAAGCKTTGGCGTTTAACTTTAACCTTAACTTTAACCTTAGAGCTTTGCTAGTATACTGAAAGCTTTCTATGTCAGACAAAGCAATATTTATTAAAGACAAATAGCTAAAAGCTCATTTCCTTGAATAGGTCCTTACTTATGTTAAATTTCTTAAAGCTTATAATAGCTTTCGTGGATGACAGTCCTTGAAASCGCAGCATAGAATGTG